TCAAACCTTTTTATTGAGACTAAACCTAGATGTTCAAGTTTTCACTGAAAACAGTTAAGCAGAACTAATCTATGGGCATATATGTCTTATCTTATTTATATAGATCTATAATAACATAACACATTGTTTCAAAAAAATAATAATAATGAATTGAATCAAACAAGGACAGGATCGCTTTTTATGTTTTAATGGCACTTGTTTTACATTTACTTCAATTCATTCATGTTTTGTTTTAATTCCCGTATCCCTAAACTTACTTGGTAGCCTATGACTACTTCTACTAGGGAATGTTTAAGATTTTTTTTTCTAGCATTCTTAAGTACAAACAACAAAATTTAAATGTATCTTATTAAACTCATAATGCGTTCAAGATTCCAACTTTCTAATATAGTCACGTTATCCATCTCTATAAATATCGATAAAGATTTATCGATGGTATAATTATGTATGTGTAGTTACACATACATAATTATATTATCTATGTATTTAATTATGTATGTGTAGATTTTTCAGCGAATACGCTTTCTTGTCATGTAACATAAAGGCAAACCTTTTAAATATTGTGTAATACTCATTACTGTTTAAAGTTTTAAACAAATAAGTTTTAAAAAAATTGTTAAAAGTTAAATCTCGAATATCCTATATTACATTTTCTATTTGATTCTTTTTTAACATTATTATAGATGTAGCCCACCTTTTCTTTGTTAATATTAAGTTTAAATAAGGCACTTATTGGAACATAAAGTGGAAGAAAACTAAATAACTATCAACAGTGAATAATATTTTTCTGCTGTTAAAGATCTTTAGGTCTCCAGCAATAGTGCCATGACTATTGTCTGTGCGATATAGGCATCTCTTCCCCCCGTTAGCCTATGCTTGTCCATTGCTGGACATAGGCATCTCACCTGTATGCAAAGCTTACAAAAAATTTATGACACTTTTGTTAGCCTAATGCGCATATACACATTTTGTCCGTTCATATATACCTTCGTTGTATACTAATATTTTTACACATACACAATACAATACGAAACAAAAGAAACAAATAGTCGGAACGCTTACAATTCATTCGCATTGAGGACAAAATCACTTGAGCCTTTAAGATATTTAAAGTTTTCTTACACAAAGGAAAACTTACCGTACGTAAATGATGCATAAAGACACATTAGAGTGCATATCATCTTGCGAAACTGTGCTAACGACACGGGGATATAAGTCCACTTTATTCACGTTGCGAAACTTTAGTAATCTTCTTGATGTGATTTCTTAGATTAGTTTTGCTGATAGACGAAAAGATGAGTATGTATTTTAAAGAACTGTGTCAGTTTTGTAGGCTTGAGGTGAAACAAGCTCAAACAAACATGTAGTAGGCAAACGAGCAGACGGGTCACTTGATGTAAGAGATAAAATTGAATACAATTTTTAAAGTAGTAAAATCTCTGGGTTGGATTCTTTCACATCAATGGTAAACAACACTATTACTTCAAGCAAGAGTTCAAACGCTTACGAGGGACGACGTGATAAAAATGCTGATGGTGATGCTAAGAAACGTGTCTATAACAATTACATTTACCAATCATTGAGGTTATATCATAATTACCTACCGTATATTCTACAAATAATCAGTTTCAACAGCAAACGATTTGTCTAAAACTCAACGTTTAAATTTGAAATAATTATACCAAATACTTGAAATTTTTCCAAACGCATTCTCGGCCAGTGGATTCACACGGTTGGGACTTGTGAATGATACATACATACATTCACGGTCGGTGACTATGTAAATAAGTATTTGAATTCACTGAGGAGGGAACGACCGCTCGAAGAATATTATTAACGTAGGAACAATGAGTGTAACGGAAGAGGTTTCTTTAAAAATGTTTCTTTGAGAAGATTGATGAGTGGCTAATTAAGGCGTGAATTGATTTTGATTGTGTTAATAGACTGCAGTAACACAGATGTATCAGCGCTACTTTTTTTTAGTTTGGGATATTAAATATAGTATCTATAGTTTGAAGTATCTATAGTACGAGTATAGTACCTATAGTATCTATTGTTTAAAAGAGGTGTGGAGTAAAATTGTACCTTGGTAAAATGTTATCCTTCAGAAGACCATATTTAACCTACACAAATTACCTAAAGCTTAGATGTAATTTAAGATTTTTAGAAGAATTAAATATTATACGATTAAGTCGTTATATTGTGAAATAAAATAAATCTAAACCCCTTAATTAATCACTAAAAGAAACACAAATGCCCTGTCCAAAATTGCTTTAAGCACCACATCAAGTCTCTCCGTGTTCAAAATTATTCCAAAAAGCCCCCCTTTTTAATTTTGTTTGAACAAAATATCTATTAAATACTCGAGTATTTAGTAGATATGTTAAAGACATATATGTACATGAACCCTAAAAATAATACTCAATTTTTGGCCAATCATGTAAAGAAAATTTACAAAGAGAACCTCCATCTAACACGAAATTTAAATTATTACTTCTAACACTTGTGAAGAATTTGAGAGTTTCCTTTTGATCGATCTACACTAACCACGGATGCATTCTAAATAAGAAATTAGAAGCCATATTGAAATATTTATAATAGGGACTTTGAAAAAACATTCGACTTCAGCTTACACAAGATCGCAAACCAGTCAATTACAACAATTATTCGCGACTGTCCCCGTTTCGGTACCATTAAGTACATAAGTGGAAACTTGGTTTAATAAACGCGGTCCGTTGGCCAACACCGCAATATATATATACATTTATATATAAGTGTTGAATGTCGACATGCTTATGTACAATCTCATCTGTTTCACATTACTCGTGATAATCAATATACTTATGGTAAATGTATGCCTCCGGTTTGAAGCATTTTTCTGAAAGGTTTTTAGATGATTTACTACTACTGTGTGAATAAATCTCATGACAATTTATTATTTAGTTACTTTGATGATCGTTGTATAAGGACATTTCGATACGCATTCTGTTAATCAATATTCTCTCGCTTTTGGGTTATATTCACTGTTTGTACTCATGTATTCGGTAATAAATTTTCAATCGATATGAACTGAACACTAAAACTGAATACTAATTTTATTATCAAATAGAAATGCATGATATTAATTGAAAATAAATATTTGTGTTTATATGTATATTCTACAGAGTATGGCTAAATTTGTGGATTTTCACTTCATCAGGAAATTAAATTAGACTGATAAAATGTGTACAGTTTAATGTATTTAGAAATATATTGATATTTATAGGTAATTTAACCAAGTTATAACATTGCTAAGCCATAATAAGTTATAATAAAACGCGCTTATAACCTAAAACTGTTCTTTTACCGTATTTACTTTATTTACCGAGTATTTAAGTTGTCACCTAAACCTAACCACAACTTAGGTATTACTTAACTACTTGTACCCTAAGTGAGGTGTGAATTTAAATGTTTAGACCATAAGTCAAAGTGACAAGTTAATTTGCTTACATTTAGTTAGCATACGATTGCTAGGTAAGTTTATGTTGGCCTATAGCCAGCGTCGTGTCTTGGAAGCTAAACATAAATAAATTGTCTCTCTCTCTCTCTGAGCCTATCCTTGTTATCTAAATAGTGTGACCAATTTTCCCCCATCTAACAAATGAAAAAAAGACTAAAAAGTGAATTCCTGATTAAATCTTGAAAGCATTTATTAATTATCAAAAATTTTGATTTTAAAAATAAACAAATTTTTGGACCCTAATGGGGCGAAAATGATTAAACCGTAAGAATTCAATAGTTCAAGTCAAATATTCATAAAATTTAAATCTTTATTAGTTGCGTGAGACAAATCTATGGTTTATATTATTTTAAAACAAGTTTAAATCCAGTTTTATCCAAATTTGAGTAGTTAATAACATGTTAATAAAACTCGCCCCACCCGTACATTAGACATCAACGCGCTCGTAACGTCACACTATTAATTAGAAGACGAACATAATTTATTATTCACACACATATTGGATGTATACACGTTTAGTTCATTATGAATAATGCCTTTTTTTCTTTATTTCTATATCATCATCGCAGTCGGAAAAGTATCAGTTACAATGTAATCCGTATAACTTTTAAATAAAAAGTAAGTATATGCAGGTATACGAGGATTTATAGGACGAATAAGTAAGTATACGAAGTGGCGGGTAAAGATTATTTAAATTCAACTTTATAAATAAATAACTTTCAAGACAAATTGACACGAATGACGTTTAAGTAATCAATTTAAATAGTTAGTTTTTGCCTGTTTTTTATCTTAACATTTTTTCCCATACTGCATATGAATGTATGATTGGCCACTCAAACATTCACATACAAATACGTCTCGTCTCCTTACCGTTGTCGTTGAGAAATCGCGGCGAGTTCGCAGCGGTCAAGGCCTGCGGTGGGCGGCGCAGACAACGAACCCGGATGTGAATGCCTCACAAAGACACACAAAAACCCACACATGTAATGTACTAATTTATTTCTAACTCTAACTTGTAGCAAAAAAAAAACTATATAAAAAGTTTTTGTAATTTTTCAAGCCTCTTTCAACCAATTTCTAAATACATATTTTTTAAATTCTAAATTTAAATCTTGTTTTTTTTTATTCAAATTTCAAAAGAACCAAGAACAATGCTCAAAATAAAGATTGCGTTAAAATGAGGGTAGATAGTTGGTTCTTAAACTCCGAACGCTTACCGGGAAGCTGAAGCTAACCAATAGAAACTCTGAAACCAATATCGGGTTCATCTCAATAAGTTACATAAACTTATAATTAGTCCGCTAAGCTACATAGAAAATTACATCCAGTAATTGCAAAATATACGGCAGTTAGATTATAAAGATTAAAGTTGGCCAACAAGGAATTCATGTTCAACAATCTAGTTACGACAACCGGTCACGAATTCTAGTCTAAACGACTTGACGAAACTACCCGAAACAATTAAAAAAAGAAACCCGAAACTTACCTTAAAATTTGGAGGATGTTGTGTCGTATCCGGGGCTCACCAGTCACCCCAAAACGACCGCACGATCGTTTAAACTGGCCTTGGGTTGCGGGCACTGAGAAGGCCTCAAAAGAAACGCGATCGCGCGGTGTCCCGCCAAGTGGAAGCGATCGTGCGGTATGCTGCGCGAGCGCCCGCGCCTGGCGGTGGAGGGCCACGACTGGCCGCGCGCCAGCGCCGCCACCGCATTCGCCCCGCGCCCCACACCCCGCAACCAGCGCCCGAACCTCGCTGACGTCATCCGCCGATGACCCCGACGCACGACACAGGCGGCCGCGGGACGAACACCTCTCGATCTTTCACGGAAACTCAGGTCCCTAAATACCTATTATATTTTATACCGATCTGTGAATTCCCAACCGATGGGTCATCCTACTTGAAGATAGAAGAGAGAGAGGTATATTTCTATCTCACTTTAATATGTCTAGACGGGCTTCATCGACTTAGTCTTGTCTGAAGAGGTTGTTGTCGAAATCAATGTCGATTGCAGTTGGACACTAGCTATAATACAAAAAGGCTTGAAATGCTTAAGAAGTTTTTTTAGTAGCATATTTAAAAACTTACCTTTCTAATACTATATGGTTCTACAAGAATTTTAAATATTTTATGCTTTGGTAAATTAAGAAAATTGAAAACTAAGTGTGATTTTTTTGACGTGGAGATTAATATGGAGATAGATTTTGTTTTTCTTTTTAACTTTAAGACAAAATACATATTATTTATGGTTGTATTTGGTAAACATGTAAACATAACCTATGTATAAAATGTTAAGAATTTAGAGATTATTATAATACTATTTCACAATAAACTCTCCGTTTTTTTTAATTTTCAGAGTATGACAATGACAAAAATATATTTTTTTTCGATCAAGTACAATCCACTGTTCTTATAGTTATATATTGTGGATCTCAATCCATCGCCGACGCTTCTAACATGTTACCACAAGTTATTCACAACGACAGACGCCGTCTTCTGACGAACTATCCCGAATCAGATGTTCAAATTTGAATTTAGAATCAGACACGACGTGTCTAACCGCAGCTAGACAAGGATCGTTCGGTTTTGCCGCGTTTTTGCTTGAAACAAATATGGCCGAAATATCGTAATGGCCGCCCACAATGGCGGATTGGCGGCTTTCTTCGGACGCAGGACCAGTTTCGAATGCGGCTATTTTGCGAACACGTTTCGAACACATTTTCATGCACTAATTTTATCCAAATTACGTCCAACCTCTTCAGGCGGTCTCACGGTACTGAAATAACCGGTTTTCTAAACCACCAAAAGTTATGATTACCATTGCAACAAGTTCACGCCAGTTGGCACCTCAACTCAAGGTTAGGAGCTGAATTTTACGTTAAGTTTACTATTTCTCTGTGGTACGAAATTACTTGAATATTTGCCATTCACCGCGAAGCTGGAGTCTGTAATTCTTTAAAGTCTTTCTTTAAAAATACTTATTTGTGGTCTAAGAACCTGTTTGCTAGTAAATAGTGGGTATATGTAGGTTTACTTGACGGATGTCTGTTTGAAAATCACGTTTAATTACTCCGTGGAGCCTACGCTTTAAGAGAAATGGGTACAAGCGTGGAATAGAATATTTCTAATTTCCTTCCATTTAATGTTTTACTATTTAATGGTAATAAAATGTTGCGATGCCTGCAAGCTATGATGTTAGTGGGTCAACAGTAATTGATTCCATTCTCCACGTTTATGATGAAAATTGTGAACTTGGATGAATATTATTTTATAAGTAACTAATACTTCGGTACATGTACAAACAAGGTGAGGTTTTAGTTAAACACTGAAGAAGATAATTTTTATAATTACAATATTATAACAGACTAAAATAGAAAAAATCAGGTCGACCAGGCCACCGCTAATTCCTAACCACCAAAAAGCAGTATGTTTGATAACCGCGGAATGAAAGTGACCTAACTCAAAAGTCTTCAGTGTCTTTAAAAATTAAAAATGCGTAGGTGAACAACGTGAGCAACAAAAGTGACCGATGTGAAGACTGACCTTCTTTAATCCTTTTTAATTAGTTTAAAAGAAGTTTTTTAAGGTCAGTTTGTGGAGTGGTGTGTCAAAATCAAACACTTCAAACTCAATTTTGACTTTAAATGAGATCTGTTTTTAACTAACTTCAAAAAAGAGGAGATTCCATGTTCCACTCTATATTTTTTTTTTATATATGTTCACCGATTACTCAGTCAATTGAGAACTGATTTTCAAAATTCTTTTTTATTAGAAAGAGTATATACCTGAGGTAGTCCCACTGTCACAAATTCAGGATTTGATGATAAGATCCCAGAGAAATCCAATCAATCAATTCAAGCGGCGGTAGCCTAGTGGTTAAGGCATTGGACTTGAGATCAAGAGGTCGTGGGTTCGAATCCTGACATAACCGACATGAACCCTCTCCTAATACAAGCAATTTAGCTTAGCTGGAGGTGTTAACGGGAATACTGGTAATTGCGGTTGCTAGTAAGCCTTTAAAATAAAACGAAAAAAAAGCAATCATATTAAACTTTCCCTTTCCCTAGCAAACGTTCAAGTTCTAACAACAAAATATATAAATAAATGTACGAGTATATACTCGTACATAGCTATATTATTAGCCGTTTCTTCCAAACAGCCTCAAACAATTGAATAGCACTTGCCCGCCATATTTTTTACCCACAAACAAATTAAAAATAGAATGATACGACCATTCACATCATTCTTTAGTTAGCACACGTACTTAGAAACCGTAACTATTCGCAATCGATGTAAATTCCTCAGTAAAGTGCTGGCTATTCAAGGTTCGAGATGGTGGAATGTTGCCACAATGCCTGGTACGAGTGCCATCAGTTTTTTGCAAACAGTTTGTAGCTGAAAAATGTACTGTCAGTCAGCTGTTCGGTTGTGATGAGAACAAATTAAAAACATGTATCTTTAATCCAAAGATATTTATTTGTACATGTTTTACAGTAGTTAATGTTGGATATATAACATTATTTATTTTTTATATGCGCATAGTTTGGGGTTAATAAATAACTATCGACAAAATAGAAGTCAAATAAAGGAGTTTCTCTAAATATTTTCTCTATAAGCTTAAGAAAAATTGATAATATCCATTCCTGACTGTTCTTGATGACAGTTCTCAATATTATTGTATTTTACATTGGACCCCTAAACCTACCGCAGTAAAAACCATATACTTATTTGCAGTTTTCAATATAACAAGATAAATACCCTAATCAAGCAATTTTAAAAATGGCCTACTTCTCAAATGAAAAATATGTTTTGCATGGTGCGTTCTAACGTCACTCAGTTCCTTTAAGCACATGAAAAAAAAACAGACTGTCATTAAAATTAATTATTATAAATGTGAAAGGAAATGAGTCTCTCTGTTTCTTATAAAAAAAAAACAGAATTAAAAATACCGTTAAAACGAATTAAAGGGCGATGTTAATAGCTGTTCATAACAACTGCAAAATATAATGGGACTAAAATGATGCCTTGAGGTACGCCTGCACAAATGTATTACAAATATCTTTGGATCCAAAACATATGACATGTACATCACACAAACATGTATGATATGTGTTCAGCAGACGATCTGCGGTCAAGCGGCCACGATTCCTGATTAGATACACCGTCTGTCGGCCGCACGAACGCAAAACGATCACACGATAGCATAAAGATAGCCATTCGATGTGAAATGGTTCGAAGAATAACAATATATTGAGTGTGTTTTCTCGCTGGATTCATAAGACTCTTTTAATTTTTCAACATTATATACTCTATACTAAAAGTCATTATATTTTAAAGTTTACATCCAAAATTGAAGTCATATGTCGTAATGACAAAACCTTTATTTTTTACAAACAATTTTGGATTATAATTTTCTCCTCCAGTTTTATTAACTATCTAGTTATCGATTTAAAAAAAGAAATAATAAAGCTATTTAGGATATTTGCGGTAGCAGACCTCTTTCATAAATTAAAAATAAAACGAAGGACAAGTAGCACTATTATGGGTATCATAGTTACCTCATACGTGTGAATAAATCTATCGATATAGCAGATACGAGAGTTTTTCAAAACAAGTAAACAGTAAGATTTTGATAGCAGACGATCACTTAACACTTCTTTGACCCGGAAACGTATATGTACTAAGCATACTTATTTTGTACTTTCAAACATTTTTGACATTCAAACAATGTATAGCGGTTTTGCAGTCGCCATACTGTCTGGTCTTGTCTACGGCTTAAACATTGGTTTCGGATTGCAGGCAAGAGCTGACATAAAGGGGAAGGCTTACGTGTAAGAATTCCTAATTTCTAAGTCTTTTGTCAAATCTTCCTTTAACTTGGCAGGCCCATTGGTTTAGTCGTTAGTGATACTGATTGTCAAGCCAGAGGTCGTGGTTTCGATTCCCGCCCAGGTTTAATTTCAAATGACTGCACGGATGGCGTAGTGGTTTAAGCGGTCGCCACGCCGCTTCCTACTACGCCGAGTGTTGTGGGTTCAAACCCCACATGGGACGACACTTTGTGTGATCCACAAATTGTTGTTCTGAGTCTGGGTGTTCTTTGTGTCCGATTCATGTATGTTTGTAAAGTCCCCCGCGATACAAGATTTATTCCTAATGCGGAAGTTGTCTTTAAAAAAAAAAAAAACATATCTCCAAATATTGTGTGATGGGCACGATTTCATTTGTTCTGTGTCTGGGTGTAATTTATCTATAACGTGTACGTGTGTAAGTACCTATGTATTTAGAAATATATAAGTATGTTTATCAGCAGTTGGGTTACCATAATCCAAGCTACGTGTAATTTGGAATCAAACGGCTGTGTGAGATGTGTAAGATTATTACTATTAACTCTATTGTGGTAAGATCTATTTTTGAGATCACCACGCCGCTTACTACTACGCTGAGTGTGGTGGATTCGATCCCCACATGGGACGACACTTTGTGTGATCTACAAATTGTTATTCTGAGTCGGTGTTTTTGTGTCCGTTTCATGTATGTTCATAAAGTCTCCCGCGATACAGGATATATTCATTGTCTTTTTTAAAAAAAGAAAAAGATTATTTTTTTGCTTTCGATGGGTGATTGACTGCTGTTTGAAATAAACTTACTTAATACCTTGCCGGGGGAGAACCAGATTTCGGCACAAATGGGCCGGACTCGACCGGAGTGATACCACGGCCTGAACAAAAACCAGTGTTTCTCACTGAATGAGTGAGGTTACCAGAGTGCGACTGCACGGATGGCAGTGGTTTAAGTGGTTGCCATGCCGCTTCCTACTATGCTGAGTGTTGTAGTTTCGATCCCCACTTGGGACGACACTTTGTAGAAACCACAAATTGTCGTTCTGAGTCTGGGTGTTCTTTGTGTCCGTTTTATTTATGTGCGGAAGTTGTCAATAAAAACAGTTCACTTTCCCTGATTCTGGGCGAGGGGGCTCAAAGGACGACAAAAATACTTGTGCCTCTTCAGTTGCAGGTGTCTATGAGCGGTGATAGTCACTGAATATCAGGCGGCCCGTCAGCTCATTTGTCTATTACACCATAAAATAAAACTTCTTTTATATACACCCGAGTTAATAAAAAAACATTTTATTTTTATTTAAAATCAATAAAATTAAATATACATAAATTCTCTAAATGCCTCGCATCTACTTATATAAATCTACATATGTATATACATTGATATGTAGTCATTACGAACATAAAGAATCTTAGGCGAGTAGTGATTTTATCGTAGTTTTAAAATGTCGTTTAATGCACCAATGCATCTTCACACAACCAAGCCAACATTATTAACACGAATAGAACGGCGATATTTACGAAGAATACCTGAATTAATCATTGTCATATATTTAGAAAAAAATATGTGAAGGTTAAAGGGGGCAATACAGCAGATAAGTCACCTGATGGGTTAAGTGACTATTGCCTATGAACACCGTCATAATTTTGCTTACAGATTTTCAGATTTTCAGACAGACTTTCTGTGAGACCATGACGGTAGCATAACTCTCCCAATAGTTATTTATTTAAATATATTTAGAGAGCGCGCAGTCCATTTAGACAGAGAATATTACCAAATAAGCTAAAATTATTATAGCGGTAGGAGAATGAAATTATGGATTTGTACAGCGAGTTAACTGTGATCAGAATACGCAAACATCAAATGTATGATTCGTAA